ATCAGCCTGCAAATGACTGATGGTCCTGACCAATACCAACTCGAATTAGCAGCCTTCAACACTCTGAAAGGGTGTTAGTGGAGGACCACTGGAGTTGTGTGTCCTAGACGCCCTGATCCATAGTCAGGAGCCTGGAACCAGTGCCTGTAGCCCACAGAGATGACCTGGCTGGGGGACCAGCACAGGATGCTCAGTGCTTCAGCTCCCACTGCGCAAGGCAGGAGCACTGCTGGCTCTCAGGGAAGCTAATTACAGCAACCCTAGAGCTGCTCCGTGAGTTAATCCCCCACATCACCTCCCATGAACTTTTACCACTCTGTCCTTATACATCTCGCTCACTACCAGGTTTCCACGGGCAGAAACCAGCCCCAGCTGACAGCAGCACAGGCAGCAAGGCAAGTGCTGGGAGTGGCAGCCCCAGCAGGGCTTGATGCCCAGGCTTTAGAACAGCAGCCGCTCCTCTTGGACAAGTCACTACAGGTGAAGGAAAACCAGCCTTGCTGAAAAGCCAAAGCCTGAGGAAGGGAGAAGAAAGGGGCTAGAGAAAGGAATCCATTTATCAGAGCATGCTCAAATTGGACTACTTGGCTTATGACAGACCCTTCTGATGGGCCCCTTACTGACGGCTGTCCATGAGCGAGGGACTGCATTGAAACAGTTCTGCAGTACACATTACTGATTGACTGCTGGAGGCTGCCAGTTTCTGCAGCTTAAATCTTAAATTATACCTATAATGCTTTTACCTTCTGACTGCAGAGGAACTGTTCTGAGCCTGAGTACTGCCTCCCAGCCTTGCAGAGAGAAGTGCCCTTTCACAACAGCTCTGAAGGATACAATTATCCTGCCCCCACAAATGGAGCCATGACCAAGAAACACAACAGCAAAGCTTTAAGTGTCAATATTTTGAATTGTTTGACTGTCTCTGCAAAAACATATGTTCTTGCAGTTATGTGAAGAGCTTGGGATGGAAGTTGGAAAAATGCCTGTGCCAGTACCACCACCTTCAATTCTAGCTGAACTTCAAAGCCTAGGTGCAGAGGACAGTGACCAGACATCTAAAAAACCAAATGGAAAATGTCATTCTAGTTGCCAAGTCAAAATGTTCCCCTTAATCTCTGCTTTTTTACTCTCAATTCTCCCCGACTTTTCTATCAGTATTGTCCCTCATGTGGTGGGCATTAAAAAGAAAAACTTCTCCAGCATGGGATACTTGTGCTGCTCTCCTCACCAGGTTTCCTCTCCATCCACCTTGGTTACCTCTACTTTTCAAATACGCCACAGGATTGCTCTATTTTCCACTGCTCTTTGGCCTCCTGTACCTGCAAAAGTTTTCCCCTTCCAAAGCACTTTTCCCTCATCTTCTTTCCTAAGATGCCATACAGGACTGCATGAACCTCTCACCTTGTCCTCTGCTTTTCTTAGGGTGGTTGGACTTGCTACTGGAATCCACTTGCACAGACAAGTTTAACTAGCAGGAATTCCTGAAAAGCCACATTTTACTGTGTAGCTTTAGAAGGAACATTTCTCTAGAGACTTTATTTAAAAACACCTTTGGTAGCAGAGAAGAGGTCACAGGGAGAACAGAAAACCCTGTGAAATTAAAGCCTTCTTTACTCCACTACTGCAGAGGCATGAGTGCAAGAGGGGGCACTAGAATTGTCTGCAGCTGCACAAGAGCTCTGCTCCTAGAAACTTCACCCGCTACGAGTGAGCCTCAGGCAGGAGTGCTGTACAGCCGTGCTTACAATGAGAAACGCCACGAGCATGACAAGGGGTGAAATGTGAAGCAGTAAAGCCAGCATCCCACACCAGGGCAGCCCACTTGCAGGCCAGCAGGAAATCTGCCACTTGCTCAATGCCAGCGGAACTGAGCAAGTGGCAGATTGATACTGCACGTGCTGACTGCCCTTCACTGGCTATGCCTGTGCCTCAAGCAGCTCCCAGCCCCGGGGTCTGAAGGGTCTGTGCTCAGGTGAGAGAACAGATCAGACAACTCAGCACTGATGCAATCAAGCAAACCCTGATGCGTATCCAGCTGACTCCAGATTTCTTAAAATGCCAGAAAGCTGCAATGCAAACTGAAGAATAAAAGTGATATTTGCTTGTTTTTGCTTTACTTAGGAAAATCACAGATCTCAGGGACACATATTCCCAGTGCAGAGGAAGCATCAGAAGTTCCCACCTGTACTCACTCCACTGGAAACAACAGTCACTACTTCTTACTGGTCCAGTCCTCAGATCAAGTTTTAGGACCTTATCTCTTTGTTCTGAAAGTCCCCAAGTTAAACTATACCATTACTATTTCGTTATCAAACAAAAAAACAAACGCAAACCATTCTTTCTTTGGGACTACATTTAGTTTCTCCACGCAAATCTTCACACCCAACACCACTAGATTGGCAGTAATGATTTTAAATATGCTACCCCAAAATGTCACAAATATTAGGCAGCATTTTAAGAGCTCTGGGAATAGTTTAGTAGCACCAAGGGACAGGCCCTGCTAACAGCAACTTTAAAAATAAAGAGTTAGGTAAAAGCATATACTTCTCTTGCATAAATGGACATGTGAAAAAAAAAACAACCTTAAAACCCAACACTCCATTTGGGAATTAACCAACATGAGAAACGAAAAGAAAAAAGAATATTAAAAAAAAAAAACACAGAAAGATAACGTGTACATGGCACTCTCCATAAAAGGACCAAACACCTCTCGTGCCCGGGCTTGTTGTATTTCTCATTGATATAGACACTTTGTTTCCTGACTCAGAGTGGCAACTTCACTCCCCACAATGCCTGTATCCCCCTGATCACAAAGCCAGCCTGCTGCAACGCAGGGGCCCTCCTGCTTCAGGCTCCTCATGCAGTGCTCACAACCTTTACATCGCTCCTACCGATTTCAAGCAGTTCCATCACTTTCCAGCAAGGAATATGAGAAACAAGCTGCCCCCAGCCCATCCCAGTAAGATGGACCTTGTATCAGTTCATAAAATACCAGGTTTTAAAGAAGTCCTTGCTTTCGCCCCCATTATTTAAAAACAGGTACTATCCTCACAATAACCTTTACTTGTTAAAAAAGTGCAAGTAATTGCTATCAGTGTATCAGTGAGCAATAAGGCTGACATTGAGAATCCCCCACAAACTGCACCAGAACGCACCATGCTTCATGCATGGTCCACAAAGATGGCAGAGAAACAACAGGCCAGTATCCCAAAACCAGAAAGTCTGCACCAAAGCCAGCACGGAGTCAGGAGCCTCAGGACCTCCTTCATGCTCCACAAACAGCTGGGGAAGGAGCAGCAGCCTTTGACATGATTCCTGGGCAGGAGAGAAAAACAACGTGTCCTGGTCCTGCTGCTCCAGTGAGGTCAATTCAGCCAGTGAGGTCAATTCACCATTTAGCCAAGAGCCAAACTTTGGCCTCTCCCATGGCTACCTCAAATCCTCCCTGGTGAGTGGTTCCAGTAGCCAATCCTTCCTTTGCCAACACAGTCCTTGGCCACATCAACATTTGAGTTCTTTGCAGGCTGCATGTATTTCAAGAGCTCCACACCACTCAGCCCTGTGCTAAACCATTCCTTCTAGAGCAGGAGCACCTTTGGTCCAAAAGCACCCCTTGCAAGAAGCAAACACCCATCATCTCAATACCTTTGTTTCTGACTGCAGCTTGCACTTGAAAAGCAAAAGTGGTTTATACACAATTCATTAAAGTCCGGAGACTGGTTTCCCTTTCCACTTTCACTGCTTATAATCTGGGTCATTAGACAAACGGAAATTTAGGGGCTGTGAAGCCCAACCCAGGCAGTGACCTTGTGCTCTGCCAGTCTCACAGGGAGTTAAACCTTGCTGGCAGGACTGGATCCAAGGGGCTGCTGGATATTTCGGGCTGGGGCTCCTTTGCTGCTCAACAAACCGCTGCACACACCTCCAAGTGCTGGAAAACAATCCTATCTTACAGTTAGGCTGGTGTTTTTTTAAGCTGGTTCTGCCAGTTCTCCTCCCACTAATGAGAGGCATTTATCACAGGAAAAAGAGGAAGCAACAGTGAGCCAACAGTTTTGCCCACAGGCCAGTTTATTTTTTTTTTTAAGGATCTGAAAAGGGGACTCTGGAGGCATCTTCCATTTCCCTCTGAAATATAAGTGCTATAGCACCATTTGCAAAGAAACTTGAGAAATTCTGTAACTTTAAAAACAACCCCAAACCCACAGAAGGAAGAAGGCTCAAGAAGGTGCATCTGGAGTTTTTCTGCGCGAGTTAAGAGAGCATCCTGGCTGAGCGGCGTAAGGGCAGCTCTGCCCGAGCTCTGCGCACGGGGCGCGAGCGATGCCGCAGGGGCCGTGCCTGTGTCCCACGGGCGGGGGTAGCCGTGTCCCCGGGGGTGTGCCCGTGTCCCCGGGGCTGTGCCCGTGTCCCCGGGGCTGTGCCCGTGTCCTGCAGACGGGGTGCCCGTGTCCCCGGGGCTGTGCCCGTGTCCCCGGGGCTGTGCCCGTGTCCTGCAGACGGGGTGCCCGTGTCCCCGGGGATGTGCCCGTGTCCCCGGGGCTGTGCCCGTATCCCGCAGTCGGGGTGCCCGTGTCCCCGGGGATGTGCCCGTGTCCCGCAGCCGCCGCCGCCGCCCGGGAGCGCCCCGCCCCCGCGTTCCAATGTGGCGCGCGCCCGCCCGCCCCCGCCGCCCATTGGCCGCCGGCCGCGTCAGTCGCGGCCCCGCTAGCGGCCGCGGGCGGGGCGGGGGGGCCGGGCGGGCGCAGCCGCGGCGCGGGCGGGAGCGGCGCGGCGGGAGCGGCGGGGACGGGCCGGGCCCCGCGCAGCCCGCCCCGAGGGGGAAAAGCGGGGCGGGCGGGGAAGGGGGGGGCGATACCTGTGCCCGCGGGTCTTCGCCACCGCCCCACCCGCTGCAGGCACCCCTCGGCCGGACCTCCCCCCCGGGCTGGGACGGGTTTTCCCCCCGCGCTCCGCAGCCATTTTCGTGGCCACCTTGGCTACCAGCGAGGCTGACTCACCTCGGCACTGCGGGCGCGGGGAGCCCGCCTCGGCGTCGGGGGGCCCGCTCCGCCCGGGAGGGGCGGGGGGAGCCCGGCTGGCTGCGCCCTCCCACCCCGCCGGCCCCGCTGGCTAGTCCCAGGCGAGGACGGGTCCCGGGGCCGGGCCGGGCTCGGCGGAGGCGGCAGCGGCGGCTCCCTCCCTCCCGGCCGTGACCACCATCTTATTAGCACAGGAAATGACATGGAGAACGGAAGAGAGGGGCGTTCGGGGGCCGAGCCCGGGGACCCCCCGAACCGGGGGGAGGCGCCGCCGGCCCGCCCGGTCCGGCCCGGCCCGGCCCGCCGAGGCTCTCCCGGGGCCGCGGCATTCCCGCTTTCTTTCCAAATACCCGCGGTGGAAAAGAGGAGGGGAAAAAATAACAAAAAACAAACCCCAAAAGCCGCATACAGCTAGGGGGGGAAAAAGCACCAAAAAACAAACGCAGAAGAAGCCAAGCAAGCCCAAACCGCCCGCGGTTCCCACCTCCTGCTCCGGAGCCTGCGAGTTCCGCGCGGAGCCGCCGGCGATCAGCGCCCGCGGCCGGCCGGGGGCTCGGGGGGGCTGTGGAGGACAAAACCCGTCCGGACGGCCCGCGGGCACTGTGAGGGGGGAGCCGCCGACCGAGGGGGCCCGTCCCGGCGGAGCCGCCGGGCTACCCCCGGGCGCTGCCGCGGCCACCACCTGCCGCCGCCCGGCAGCCGCCGCGGCGCCCCGCGGAGCGAGACTCGGCCGCCCGCCCGCGTCCTCGGGGCCGCCCGCCTCCGGGGCACGGCGGCCAGACGTGACCCCCGCCCGCGGCCGTGCCCCGGGGCTCCCCCGCCGGCCGGGGCCGGAGGCGGAGTTGCCCCGGGGCGGGCGCCCGTTCCCCCGGCAGCACCCCGCGCCCCTGCCCGCCCGGCAGGAGCCTCATGCTCTTCCGCGGGAAAAAGTGAATGAGAAGACGCGCTGTTTCCCCGGCGCTCGGAGCTCGATCGTATTTCAGATTACCCCCCCAAAAAGTAACCCACCCAACAGCAACAGTAACAACAAACCCTACCCTCGAGCTCTGCGCAGAAATTGCGGGCAACATCACGGATGACAAAAACTAGGCACAATTTAATAAACAGAGGAAGCGTGTCTCACCAATAAAACAAAATCTAAATAAAAACCATCTGCAAGCATTAAATTTGAAACAATGCAAACTCTTCAGCTGCTTTGCCAAAAGAGGCACAACGGGGGGTAAAGAGAGGAATGGATAAATAGCCATAATTTTCCAGTTCCTTCAGTTGACAATGGACTTGAATGCAAACAGGGTTGTGGTGAAAATGTGCCCGATTGGATTCTAGGAACTACTTCCCATTTTCTGTAGCCCTGAGAAACACTGTTTTCTGCGGTCCTGAGAAATAAATTCTCTCTTGATACTCTCCACTCTGAAATGCCTACTATACAAAGTTGCTGTAAAGAAGAGAAAAGTTGAGTGAGGACAAAACCTAAAAACGTTTATAGCCCAAGCAAAATAGAGGCCTGCTTCTGCCATCCTGGAGCTGCTTCCACTGCTCTCACTGAGCATTGTGGGGTGGCAGAACTTCAGGGTTAGGTCTTGATGTATCACTTAATTTAAATTGGCAAAACAACAAGGAAGGTAATCAACTCGGCTTCAAAATAAGCTCTTTGAAAAAGCAGCCAGTATGGCACAGATGATTATTCGGAAGTTCAAATGAGTATCAGTCCTCAGATCTCCCACTGTAGTTTGCTTTTTGTTCCCCATTTCTAACCTCCAGGGAGAGGATTCGTTCTCAGAGGAAAAGCGTGCGGTGTCATTTTACCCCTTCCAGTAATTGCAGATAGATGGACTTTGAGGCACTTGCACTTGCCTTGGAAAGACCATAAGCTGTCAGCACCTTCAGACTCCTCAGAAATATTAGAGATCCTAATAGAGCTGCCCTAGTTTGCAGTTTCTGTCTGTGTGCTGAAATGTGTGAGAACACTCAACTGGCATTAAGTGCAACAATGGGTTTGTAAATATGATTGATGAATGAACCAAGAGGAAAAATAATAACTAAAAAACCAATAAAAATCATGTGAGTAATATAAATGCATGCTGAATGCCAGGCTAATTTGGAGTAATAGTTTAGTTATAGCTATTGTAGTGAAAGGCTGAAGGGGAGGCTCAAAGGGAGGCATAAATCTTTTATTTGTAAAGAAAATTAAATATGTAAATGCACTATAAATAACAGCTATTATGTCTTCCTGTTAACACAGGCATGCTAATTTATTGAGAGGGAGTTGCCTTGTTTTAATGTGTGCAGTCGCTTTTATATGTTTAATAGTCAGGTGTGTTGGGTTTATGTGGCAAGGTGTGGGTGGTGGGGAGGCTACAGGGGTGTCTTCTGTGAGAGGCTGCCAGAAATGTCCCCTATGTCTGACAGAGCCAACTCCAGCCAGATCCAAGCTGAACTCACTGCTGGCCAAGGCCAAGCCCATCAGTGACTGTGGAAGCACCACTGTGATAACACATTTAAAAGGGAAGGAAAAACAGATCTCCAGACACCACAGTCAGTTGAAGAAGGAGGGGAGGAGGTGCTCCAGGTGCCAGAGCAGAGATTCCCTGGCAGCCTGTGGAGAACACCATGGTGAGGCAAAGGTGTGTCCCTTCAGCCCATGGTGGTCCATGGTGTAGCAGATATCTACTTTTGCCCTCTGAAGGACGCCACACCAGAGTGGGTGGATGCTCAAATCAGGCTGTGAGCCTTTGGGAAGCCCATGCTGGAAACAGGCTCCTGGCAAGACCTGTGGACCTGTGGAGAGACGAATCCACACTGGAGCAGGTATGCTGGCAGGACTTGAGGCCCTGCAGGAGACCTGCACAAGAGCAGTTTGTGAAGAACTGGAGCCTGTGGGAGGGACCCCACACAGGAGCAGGGGAAGAATGTGGGGAGTACTCCCCCTAAGAAGAAGGAGCAGAAGAGAAAATATGTGATGAACTGACTGCAGCCCCCATTCCCTGTCCCCCATAACTGCTGGAGGGGAGAAGTTAGAGAACTCAGGAGTAAAATTCAGCCCAGAAGGGAGGGGTGGGGGAAGATGTTTTAATATTTAGTTTTTATTTCCCATTATCCTTCTCTGATGTGATTTGTAATAAGCTCATTTTATCAAGCTGGGTCAGTTTTGCCCATGATGAAAATTGGTGAGTCATCTTTGCTTGTCTTATTTCAACCCATGAGCTTTTAGTTGTTGTATTTTCTTTCCATTGTGTGGTTGAGGAGGGGAGTGATAGGACTGCTCTGGTGGACACCTGGTGTCCAGCCAAGGTCAGCCCATCCCATCAGGAGATAAAATCCCCATAAAGAAGATTTTGTATCTTTTCTATATAGCAACAAATTATGGAAGGAAGAGAGTGCAAATTTGTACTCTCTGAAAAAATATTACCTTTGGGGCTTGAAAAGGCTTCCCTTCTTCAACAAGCTGCCTCCTCACTTATTAAGAAGATGTAGGATTTAATTTTTTTTTCTAATAAGTACATTCAGCCCCCACTCCACCACCCACAGCAATTCTCCTCTGTCTGACAGGCTCTCAGAATAAAACTTTACAAATGGCAACATCAGTTCAGAATGACTGTCTGATTAGGTGTTGACAGAATGAATGTCTAATTAGGTGTTGACTTTCCAGTATTATACTGTCAAATCCGTTCCTCCATGAAATGCTGGATATTCTCCTGCAGAGACAAAGTTTCTTCTGCTGGCACTGAACTTTTAGCCAATGGTATAAAAAAAAATGCTTGCAAAAGTGGGTAGAACTGAATCAAGCTTCAGTTAAATGGTCTTCAGAGCTCCAGGTGCTGTGAGCTGGCAGGTACATCTGTCAGAATCTGATCCCTGCACCGGAAGAGTCTGGATGTATTTTGTGGAAAGAGCTTACCTAAAAAAAACCAGTGTCTCAAGCACAACACTGCAAAGAGGGTGGAAGTCAGGACCTCTGCTGGAGGTAGGGTAGTGGGGGATGCCTGGCTGTCTTCAACAGGGTGCCTAAGGAAAGGTAAGAAAGTGTTTGGGTTCTTCTGCAAGCTGTAGCACACAGCAGCCTTGACATTACTGAGTGTTCTCTCATTTAAGATAGTCAACATCATATGTAACCACATCAATACCGAGAGGCAACTGCTTCCCAAGCTCTGAGAAACTAATTGCTTGGGGCCAAACTTCCTCTTCCTCCAGGAAAGGTTGCTCAGTTGCCAGCAGAAAGAAAAATCCTACTGCTATTACCCAGGCCACATTTCTCCCGCACACAGAAAAGATTCAAATCTCCAGGACCACAGTGCTGATGCTCTCAGTCAGCGTGTCGCTAGCTGATAAACATCTTTTAGCATTACAAATTCTGTTAATAAGCCACACCAAAATCAGGGACATTTCCACATTCCTATGTTATTGGATAGTGAAGCAGAACACAAACTTTTCCCTTTGAAAATCTGAGAATGGCCCACAAAAGAAAAGGAAATTACATGACTGAGAAGGAAACTCGGCCAGAAGCCCATAGTTACAAATTACTGTAGCAGGGTGGGTACGGGGAACGAGGTGCGGGGGAAGAGCTCTTTGAAGGGCATGTAACTGTTCAGAGCTGCAGCTTGTGTTTTTATTTCTGCTGTACAATAGAAGTGGTGATGACCTTCACCCAGTAGTGCTGGGTGTTTTCCCTCATCATGCTATATGGGTCTTCCACTGTTATTGGTAGAAGAATATGAATCCTTTAGCAATGCAGTGCTCTCCTTGAAGTTATGGGTTTCACTGGGTTAAGCCTGACAATTTCCAAGGAGGCTGATGAATAGTGCTGAGTTCAACTGGTAAGCAAGAAACTTCTGGGTGCAGCCTTCTACCCTTTACTCTCTTCTCCAGGCTTGGCAGTTGTGCCACTGACTGGAGGGCTGAGCCTGCCCGTCCTGTGGCCACAGCAGCTCTGGTACTAACAAGAAAGCAGGCAAAGGCACTGTTAGGGACAGTGGGGAGGGAGGGATGATCCTCTCTGGGGTTTAGAATAGTGTATGGAGCCCTTCCTGAGAATGCTGTAGAGCTGTACAGGCAATTGAGGGTATGGTCTGATGGTGGAGATGCCATGATGCTGCAGGTAGCTAGAGCCATTCCCG